CCGTCTGTTTGTATCCACATGCCATCTCTTGTGTTATAGTTAGATTGTAAGGTCTCCGGGGCAGGGACTGTCTTTTTGCACAGCACCAAGCATGATGGGGTCCTGGGCCAGGACTGGGGCTCCTAGGACTACAATAATATAAATAACAGTAAGTGTTTCAGTCACATACCCTTTCCCTCAACTCTGCTGGCAACAAACTCTATGATGGAGGCTGAGAGGAGTGGAGTGGAGGCATAGAGCATAAACGTAAGTGTTACATGTAACAGCAGTAACACACAAAACACACACACGTACACAAATTGGCAGATATTCATCATTTCACCTATGCTAGTTGCTGTTGGTGACAGCTGCAGAATTAACAGAATCCTTAGATAGTTACAGAGCTAGAGGAACACTGTTCAGTACTCCTAACTCTGAATGCCTGAATACACCTTAAGCTTTTCTGACACTTGACAGGCATCTTCTTCCTCCCAGTCATGGGAAGAAGAGGGAAGAGAGGACCCTCCCACACACTTCCCTAGTATACACTTCCCTGGTTCCATGTCAGGTTTTTTGTAGGCCTCATGGCAGAGGGGAGTTTTAAGGAGGGCTTTGAAGCACTATAATGACCACAAGCTTTGTGAATGTTTACATGGAGCTTCTCCCAAGCATGAGGGGCAGCATGGGAGAAAGCACGGAGGTGCTTGTTTGAAAATTTAACAAGTGGGTGATGGAGCCAGCATCATGGGTCGAGCATAACTCCACGACAGTCTGGCCATCCCCAGTTGCCAAAAAAGCTCCTGTGTAGCCTGTTGCAGTTGGGCTCAGGCCTGAGGTGATTTTTGTGTACGAAGTGTAAATCCTACTGATGGAGTTATTTCATCTAGAGACTGGTGGCTGTTTAAGACCAAGAGAAGTTTGTGTTCGGTGTGTGGTTTTATAGGTGAGACTTGTAAAGATTGAGGCTTGTATCCTGATGTTGCTGATAGTAGTGAGACTTCTGCATCTGGAACGATATGAGTGGGATAGACCCTGTCACAGTAGCAAATGTTTCAATTATAAAGAAGACATAAGGACACTTGGTGATATTAGCTTTTCCAATGGGAAGAAACTCCCTTAACAATGTCAGTAGTCTCTTGCAAATGTGCTGGCAAAAATCCATTTCTATTTGGAAACCTCAGCTAAAAATAGCCAGACTTGCCATGTGCCTGGCCGTTTTTTACAAACAAATAACATTATTTGCTTATGGCTTTGACTCACCCTAGCTTTGAGGAAATGGTTCTTTCTAAAATACAAGTTGCTAGCTCTTCACACAAGATGGTTGAACCTTCAAATTTCCTTTAGAAGGAAAAGTCAGAATTTTTTTGCAAATGAACTGTTTTTGTTAAGACGCCTTTTTTACAGGTCCTGAAAACCAAACGCTGGTAGCTCTGGCTCAAGACTTGCTCCCAGCAGACACTAGGCAAGCTCTTCCACACACCTCTGCTAAGGCACCCCAAAATACTTGGCTACCGTGCTTTTTTTCTTTTACGCCTTTATGACTCACCTGAGCAGGAACTGCTGGCTGTGTTTTGGTTTGCGTGATGATGCACTTGAAGTTTCACAAAGGACTGAACTGAAATTACCAGCTACAAAACACAATTCAGTTTGAACCCAGGGGTGAAGCAACAGTAGCAATACGTAGCCTGACTGGAAACGGTCATCCGAATCATGGGAGAACAGGTTTCCCAATGCTCTCATGCTCTCACATCTTATCTCCAGCTTAATGGGGATGGAAAGGACCAGTAAGGGGTCCAGGAGAAGTGTTTGAGGGTGTGCTACTCTGAGATTAAGGGAAAGGACAGGTCACCAACTTGGAGGTCACTGTCCAGAGAGATATAATGGCCAGCCATTCAAACAAACTGGATGGGAGAGCCAGCTAACAAGCCATCCCCTGAACTGCTCAGGAGCAGATGACCGCCTTCTGAAGACATTAGAGAAGACTAAAACAGTCACTGGAACAACCCCCCTCCCAAAGTATAAAAGGGGATTGCCCAGAGATTGTAAGAGGAGGATCCTTTTAAAGACATTCAGATTGGAATGTTGTTTATAGATTCAAGGCCAGAAAGGACCATTATGAGCATCAGGTCTGACCTCCTGTAGCATACAGCCCAGAGAACCTCACCCAGTGAATCCTGCATGGAGTCTAGTTCCACCACATCATTGACTGGACTAGCACATATCTTTTAGAAAGTCCTCCAATCTCAATCTTTAGAGAATCCCACATACGGAGAAGCCACCACATCCTTCCATGCTCTGTTCCAATGGTTAACTTCTCTCACTGTTAAAAATGTGGGTCTGTTAAATCTCCAAAGTACGAAAATCATCTGGATATTGGACTATTCACTTACACCTGCCAGGAAGCCTATTAAGAGAATCGTTGTGTTGCTGCTGTTATTGCACAAAGTAGTGCAATTTCCATTACAATAGGTTGACAATGCCATGAATACTGCAGTAAAGGCAATTTCATTGAAGTCTCTTTAGCGGTGGTGGGTAATTGTACTACACAGTTGTTCATTTTCAGTGGTAAAGATTTCATTTTTTTAAAAAGCTTAATCTGGGCAGATATCGTTTGTCATTAAGGAGAAAACCCAGTTTAATGTTTATTAAAACTATTTCTATGCAATATCAATAAAGATCCTGAATATAGAGTGGATGCAGAGGCATAGCGAGCGCCCTCCGTACCCTCCGACCGGAGGCGGCCCCGCAAGGAAGGGGGCCCCTAAAAGTGGCAAAATAAATACCGCATTCCAGTTTCTGCATTGTAAGAGGCCCCGCCTGGACATATGTTCGGAGGGTGCCACCATTCGGAGGGGGCCACCTTCTTTGTTGCTACGGCCCTGAGTGGATGGCACTCTCTTGCTCATTTTTATGCTCTCATAAAAGAGCGTGTTACTTTTAATGAACTCACAAGGGAACTAGAAGCGGCTGACGGCAAAAATATGATGTAATTAAATGGCATTTTTGCAAGTGTTTTCTTAAAAGTCACTTAAAAAAGAATTCCTGCTGTAGTTGTGAGTAAATTTGCCTTCCGGTCTTCCCTTAGCAAGATGCAAATTGACCTTCTAAAATGTTTTGATCTTTAATTACTTCCTTTCTTATTTAGGAGCTTTCATTTGGAATTTTAAAGAGCCATTCTACAGCGTAGACCCAGCCAGCCAGCTTGCAACACACTGTATTACATCACTTAATATTTTGCACCATTCAATCATTTTATCACCTACTTTGAAATTGAAGCTGCGAACTTTCAAAGAGAGAAAGAAAAAATATGATCTGTGGAAAATATTCAAGAAGCGACCATGTTCAAGAAAATAAAGCTCTAAATATTCTAAGCTATATTTTTCAATGCGTAATTTACCAGATATGGCTGACTGGATGGTGATGGCGTGTGTGTGTTTTGGGGGGGCGTGGCAGGGGAGAGTAGAAATCTATTTGTCTTAAGATAAATGTCAAAGGATTAACTTTTAAACTCACTCAAAGTATAGAATTAGTCCAATTCTGTTAAAATAAAAAAGATATTGGCACAATCTGAGACCTTCAGGAATTAGACCTCTAATACTTGGAAAAGCTAGGAAATATTTGGTGCTGGAAACAAAAGACATTTTAAAGACTTTAAGATTGGACACATTTTTCTGGACACAGTTCTGCGGAAGCTACAGAGCCGGATTCGCCATTGTCCTGTACTTTATGCAGCTGTTTACATCAGTGCAAAGGGGCTGTAAAACACTACTAAATCAGGCTGGTATGTTTTGTATCCACTTTGCACTGATGTAATGACTGCACATAATGCAGGACCATGGAGAATCTGGCCCACAGTCTGTAAGAGAAGTTTAAACAGAATAATAAGTGGTAAGCATTTAAACTAATAGACTTCTGTCTGAACTTCAGCTTTCTTTAGGCTTGTTGCAACTTTTCATGAGTCTCATAGCTCAGAAAGTAATTTCTTAGGCATCAGCATCTTAGAGGGAATGCAGTCTAAGGTACTTATGGCCCCAATTACCATAGCATGTGGGTGCCTCACAATCTTTAGTGTATTCATCCTCACAACACCCTTGTGAGGTAGGGCAGTGCTGTTGTCCCATTTTACAGATTGAGGAACTGAGACAGAGAGAGAGAGAGAGACTGAGTGACTTGTCCAATGTCACACAGGTAGTCTACGATAAATTAAGGAATTAAACCCTGGTCTCCAAAGTCCCAGACTAATGCCCTAATAATTGGACTATCTTACCTCTCCTGTTTCTGCCTCTGTTAGCCCATACTTTTCTGTGTCTATTCTCTGTCTCTTGACAACATCTCTTAAATATTTCTCAAGCACATTTGCACACACACACAGTTAAAATTCTAGAGTAGAGTATAAACTACTTTAAAGGCTTTGGGGAGTAATTGTTTTGATTAATTGCTTTATGTGCTATGATTCACACCTATATATAGCATAGCATCTAAATCGTGAAGTCAGATGCCGGATTCTGCAAATTCAGTATGCCGAGAATTTTTATTTATTGAGCCTGATCCTAATTTTGGCATATTTTGGAAACCTTGGGCTTGATTCTGATCTCATTTCTACAAGTATAATCCAGGAATAATTCCATAGTGTCAATGGAGTTACACAAATGTAAAACCAGAGTGAGGCTCCTTATGTAGAAAGTAAATTATGGTATTGATCCAAAACCCACTGAAATCAATGGAAAGACCTCCACTGAGTTCAGTGGGCTTTGGTTCAGACCCTATACACACTAATAACTTTATAGACATACATAGGTCCTGCTTTGAATTTGAATTAATGATGTATAAATAGAGGAGGAAGGGGAGCAACAAAAGCATAGCTATTAAACACGCAATTTGGTCATCCTCACACCTCAAGATACCCTAAAAAGGAAGTGTGCATTAAAAAATCCTTAGAAAAATTGGTAGTCCAGTGAACGTTCAGAAAGGATGGAGTCTCACCTTTTCTTCTTCTAAAAGTCTTCTTTTTTATTTGATAGCTTGCCCATCAGGAACATATAAACCTGAAGGTTCACCTGGTGGAATCAGCACTTGCATCTCTTGTCCTGATGACAACCACACCTCTCCCCCTGGAAGTACCTCCATCAAGGACTGTGTTTGCAAGGATGGGTATCGTACTGCAGGACATGCCTGTGAACGTAAGTCTTTCCAAACAGAGAACATGAATAGAGAGGAAAGGCACATTAGGACGCATAGACAGTGTAATCTTAGCCCTTTTTGGACTGTTTCACTGAAATGAGATAGTCAAGCATCTGTGGGGTTTATTATAGTGTTTCATATGCATGCCCTCAAAAGCATAGATACTATAAATTAACAAATCAAACCAGCCAAATTAAAGACGTAAACTAACCAAGTCGGAAATGAAATGAAAATAATGCTTCTGGAATCTCTAACCCTGTTGTTGTATGATTAATTAGTTGTCCACTGCCCTGAGCTGCAGCCCCCGGAAAATGGTTACTTTATCCAGAACGTCTGCAACAACTACTTCAACGCTGCCTGCGGAATCCGATGTAAAGCAGGATTTGACCTAGTGGGAAGCAGCATCCGGCTGTGTCAGCCAAATGGCCTCTGGTCTGGTTCAGAGACCACGTGCAGAGGTATGAAAGCCATTTCTTTGGAAAAAGCTTGTGACGCAAGTTGTTTTGTTGTTAATGATGGTTTGAGGTTTGTTGGTTTTGTTGGTTTTGCTGGCTTAGAGTAAACCCCAAATGAAGGAATATTCAAAAGGAAAACCCCATGATGAGTATTTTATCTTCTGGTTTACTAAGAGGAGGAAGAAAACCTTCAATAAGAAATGCAGAGTGGTATCACCTGCTAGAGAGCCAAACCTTGGTAAACATTCCGCATTGTCCTCTTATACACACCTATTCTGTCTATTACTAACTTTCCTCACGTGACACCAGTGGAACTACCAGAATAAAATTAGGGTTGTAAATAAAATTATGGCTAGTAAATAAGGATTTGCAGGATGGGGGGTTTCAGAATACCCATGAGGGATCCATCTGTTGGATTAGATGCACATTGGCATTGGAACCCCAGGGCATAAACTTCAACAAAGAATATTGCTTCCAAATTTCTGATTTATGATCCTTGGGTTTATCATGTGAACGAAAAAAAATGGAAAGTTCCAGGCCACATGTATAATCTCAGAAGAGTTTTGAATGTGGTTCCATTGGACAATGACTATTTCCTGGAGGTTGAAAGTGAGGATATATTAACTGGAAAGGAGATAATCAGAAGGAGTGATTGAAAATGGCATGACTGGGAATAGGGAGAGGGGCTGAAAAAAAGTATTTATCCAAAGAGGGCCTCCTGGAGTGCTAATAATTACATTTGAATGTTGCTTTCGTGGATCAGATCACAATTCCATCTTGCCTCTGGCTGTGGCCTAATACATGATGTTTCAGAGGAAGGTATCCACCTTCCAGTTCCACCAATGCACATGCAGGACTCCTTAACCAGTTGTGCAATTCTACAGAGGATGTGGGATTCCTTTCTGACCTCCTACAGGCACTTATAGACTGAGGCTGCTCTTCCACCTTTCACAGCCCGTTTGGAGAAAGGAAGCTTGCAGTCACGCACTGGCTGGTGTGCAGGTCAGGTTACACTTAGGGAAAGGATGCGTGGTGGAGACAAGGGGAATGGACAGAGCCAGAGAACAGTCACTGTTTGAGACATGCTTATATAGCAACCCACCTGAATTCGCATAACAAATTGCTGCATAGTCTAATGCTGAATGTTGCTGAATTTACTGTCCCCCTGCAACTTCCAGTGACCCTGGAAGGGGTGAGAGCTTGCAATGGAAAAAATATGTTGCTAGTACTTTGGGACAGGGAAGCAAGATCCATGGGATTTGGCCATGTCATTCCACGAGGCAGGCTACAGAGTGAAATAGTTTGAAAATCCAGCTGTAGGCTGATTGGACTAGTGGGAGAGCAGGTCTCCATGAGACTGTCTCTTGTACAAAGGAATCCTCAGAATGAAAAGGCTGGAGAGCCCCTGGACTGGAGCATAAAGAAAGGACTGATCAGTTTTCACTCTAATCATCTAAAAACGTTAAAATGTATGACTGGCACAGAAAACCTTAAATTATAGTGAATAAATGAAGACTCGGCACACCACTTCTGAAAGGGTGCCGACCCCTGATCTACAGGATTATAGTCTCCACACAGAGAAGTGGAACAATCTTAAGCCCCCACACAGACACTTTTAGGGGAGACGCTATTCTGTCTTCCGGTTTTTGGGTGAGGGGTGGTTTATTTTTTCTGCAAGGCTTCACCGTTTTCCTTTTAATGAAGCATTTGGCTTTAACGGAGCCAAAGAAGTTAGCCCTCTGCTTTGAGCTGTTATCTTCATGTGGTATTAATTTCCTTTGAAGCATCTAGAGGATATCCTGTCTTTTTTTCCCCTCTCATAACACATCATGTTGAAGTGCCTCATAAAAAAAAAATCCAGCCTTAGCATATGCCGTGTCTGCTGTTCTCCATCCATACAAGAAACCATGCTGTAGACGAGAGCAAGATCAAAGGCACCGTTTATGGGCTGTCTCATTAATCCCAACAGTATTTTATCACATCAATTATGAAAGGACACCAAAGGATTTTAATCCCTTCACACTGCTTTCGGTTTTGACATTAAACATTCAACGTTTTGGCATTTTTGCGCTACTTAGCTGAAATGTGTCCTGGCTGTGATAAGTGATGCTTAGACCCATCAGCGCACCTTCTGCAATTAGCAGCAGCTAATATAAAATTAAGCTAAATACTGTCCAACTGCAAAACACCCATTTAATCCAGAAACATTTACTATAACAAAATTCTAAAGGCCAACAGAATATATTTTAATGCACATTTATGGGAATTTTTAGTGATTGTGGAAAGTGCCAGACTGATAGTCCTCAGGTCAAGAGGATGGTCTTGTGGTCAAGGCACTAGGCTGCAGTTTAGAAGATCTGGATTCTATTTCTGGTTCTTCTGCACATTCCTGCTGTAAACTTACAGAGGCTAAGTTACTTGCCCATGCTTCAGTTCCCCATCTGCCGAGGTAGCTAATAGTATTTCCCTACCTCACGGGGGTGTTGTGAAGAGTAATCCATTAGCCTTTGAGAAGTCTAGATCCTGCATGGCCTACACACCCAGTACTCCCTCTGACTTCAGTGAGAGTATGGGATGCTCAAGAAATGTGGGATCAGGGCTCTGGGCCTTTAAGCATTTTGTGTGTGTATGAGAGAGAGAGAGAGAGAGTAGAGATGGGGGAAAGTTTATTTAAGTTTTGTCAAATCTTGTTGGCTGGGTTTTGGTTTGGGGTTTTGTCTGGATCCCATTTAATTCAAAAGCTTAGTGTTCGGGGGGGGGTGAAGGGAGCATGTGTTTTGGCATATGTATGAGCAGTAAGTCCAAATGTTAGGTGGGCTATAGCCCAGGAGACCAATAGATCTTGCATGCTCATGCTCATACTCACTGGAATGGAAACAGAGGTCTCCACTTCCCAAGTGTGCCCCCTTAGAGGGGTGAGGGCTAGAAGATCAGAATGGCAAATCCCTGTGCTTTGCTGCTCCCCAGAATGATGTTTCAAAGGGAGCTCCCTCCCTCCTATCTAGGACATCAGTGGGAGGGGTAGCCACTGTTCTGGTCCTTCCACACTGGAACACAAGGTTAGCAGTGTTGCTGATGGTGAGTCATAGCCACGTCACCCTGAAAGGAACAGAACAATGGCCATGCATTCCTTCCACACCAGCAGGTGAGCAGGACCTGATAACGGGTGCAAGGAGGCACATGCTACCACCTGTGAAGGTATGTAGCTGTGGTCACCTGGTGAGCATTTCTCCAGTGCTTCCAGATTTATTCCAGCTGCCTCCCTAATGCCTCCAAGACTGATAGTTTGCAATGCCCACTATATACACTACCACAGCTGTGGCATTAAAGGCCATAGTAGAAAATAGGAGCCTATTCTCTTTGCATGACAGATTTGCATTAGAGTTGTAATATGTTTACTTAGTGCAATTAAGGTAAAGAATAATAGAAAACTAGTCTGAAGAGCAACACTTTCTTTAATTCATTAAGAGTCTAGTGACTCTAGTCTAGAGTAAGTTTCCTGATCTCTTTCATTCTAGAAAAACCTGTACATACACGTGAATCAGAGGGGTTGGGGGAGGAGGGGCAGTGTTCTGGACCTGAGTGAACACAAGGCAGTCATAATGCCTAGATGTTACGCAGCTAACTGTGTTGCCACTCCTTATTTTCTGGTCAATAGTTGCTACAAATCTTGCAGTTTTTTTCCTGATTTGTTTATATCCAACTCTCTCAGAAAGAAACTAATTTTTGTAATTGCTTGAGACTTGTAATCCTGGCTGTTGGTACAGCTGGATTTCATTTGATTGATAACTGATTAACTTTGTTCTCTTACTATCTTTAGGAAGACATGTAGTCTGTTGGGTCAATATGTACAATTATACACACATGTTTTCTCATCAATATGTGCAATAGACTACTGGAAAAAGGAAAGAAAGCTGCCAAGTTTGCTTAACTTTGAACTTATTTGGAAAGAAAGCTAGTAGTTTGACTTCTACATTGGCAGGGGGTCACTTGGTAAAATCAACATTCTTAACCACAATATAGAAGTTACCCAGGCCACTACAGTCATGACTCATTCAGGCCTTGACCTTCCACCATCCAAGTTGATGGAAGTCATGGAAGCAGGGTCTAGCTCTTAAAAAAAACAGTAGATTGCAGAGCTTCACCCCCTTTTTTTTTGTACTGTTCAGTTGTGCTACTGCTTAATGTGTTAGACAAGACTGATGCACGAGATTACATTTAATTCCATGTTCTTCTGGAGTTGATTTTAGTTATGTAATAAATTGGTGTCAAGATGTAGCATTAGCAATTGAGCAATTTAAAAAACAAACTGCACACTCAGCCAAACTAACACTGTCTTCTCATTCAGCATCAGTCAGTAACTCCTCCAAGAGCTAACTGAACAAATCTTCTTAGTTACACTTCCTTCAACTTCATTGACTAGATATGGACCCAGATTTCCCAATGTGACGTCTTAAAGAGGCCTGGTTTTCAGAAAGGGGTAAGCACTCACCTTGTGAAAATCAGGCCCCTGTAAGGTGTTTTAACATAAGCACCCAAAATCACTGGTCACTTTTGAAAATATTGGCTCCACTTATAAGCCCAGATTACCAAAATGTTATTTTCACTGTATCCATTTAAATGACAAAGGGTTTTAGAAGTGACCTTTAAACTGTCTGTTGTTCCTTTCTTTATGGTGAAAACGTAACATGCTTGTTTTACCATTTGCAGTTCGAACGTGTCCAAAACTTCACACACCTGAAAATGGACGAATTAATTGTTCGTCAGGTGATACCTCATACAAGACAGTGTGTTTTGTGACCTGTGATGAGGGCTATGAACTGGAAGGAAACTCCCAACTCACCTGTCAAGGAAACTCTCAGTGGGATGGAAAGGAGCCACTGTGTGTGGGTATGTTTTTGGTCGTTGCGTGTCTGTTCACATAGAACCATGTCTTGAGGAGGAATTGATAATGGGATAAGAAAATGACCTCTAGATTGCTGGTTGAAATCCAGCTGTGATATCTAAAAGTCGCTCCTCTCCTGTGGCTGTTTGATAACCTGTATGAAATGAATTAGTGATCACAGTCCAGTTCCTGGTAGACATGGCTCTCACACAGAAGAGGGCAAGGGTGTATCTCTGGGGAGACTCAATTATCCTCTCAGAGCTAGAGATGCTCCCTCCAGCTAAAGATTGAGGCATGCTGGCAGCATGGGGGAAGCTTAAGCAACTGCTGCCTCCTTTGTTGGAATTCCCAGCATAGAGGCCAAGGGTTGAAAGGGCTGAGGACGCTTTTACTCCTTCAGGGGAAACTTGCTGGTCCCGTTTGAAGCACATTGGTGGAGCAGTGCGGGGAACCGTCCGCTGCTGGTGCCTGCTCGGGACTTGCTGTGTGAATAAGTAGAGGACTTTAGACTCCAGGATTACCAGTCCAGCAATTTTCATGAGTGCTGACTTCACTGGAAAATGTTAATAATAATAATAATAATAATAATAATTTTTAAAACCCAGTGAAAATACAGAAATCATGAACATAAAGCCTGACTTTTCAGAAGCTGGGCTTGTTTGGTGCTCCTGAAAATTGTGGGTGCAGTTAATGTCATCGGTAAATTTTGTACCTACGTGTCCAAATGACCTACATTATGCCCATAATTATTTGTAATTCAAAAACTATGGGGACAAAAATGGGGACCCTGGGAGGGCAAGGCTGAACATTGAGCCCTCGGTGTAGATACATGCTTTAAAAACATCATGAAGATAAATTCATAAATTTTGGATATTATTTACACTAAGTACATTAGGAGCCCGATCTTGGTCCCAGATCAATGGGAACATTTTATTTAACTTCAACAGAGCAGGCCTGGGCCCTGAAATGCCATTGGAGGATTATTATTGGAGGACCTACTTTGCTCTGTCATTTCTTAATTTTTAATGATTATAATTCAGTTCCATTATATATCAAAAAGCCGCCTCATGCTGTTTGATATTATTTGACTCTTTTGCATAATCAAGCAGGTTATATGAGAGTTTTTGCTGGATTTCTGAGTCACCCATGGCAAGGCTTTGTTCTTGTTGGTCCCAAAAATCCAGTGTAAGAGTTTCCTTTGATTGTCCCATTGCAAAAAGCATTAGCTGAAACATCTGGGCTCACTCCTGCCATGGCTGCACACAAAGATAACTTGTATAAATCCCCCACGCAAGGAAAGCAGATGTGAAATTCCACTCATGGAATGATTGCAGGATCATGAAAATGCTAACCAGAGTCCTAATAGCACATTTTAAAAAATTGTTCCCCTTACTGATGTTCTAAATTATTACTCTCACTGTTAAAAATGTGCACCTCACTTCTAGTCTGAATTTGACTATCTGCAGCTTCCAGCCATTAGGTCTCATTATGCTTTTTTCTGCTAGATGAAAAAGCATGTACTATCAGTAGGGCTCCGTGTCTGTCACGGTGATCGCGGAAGTCATGGATTCCACAACCTCCGCAACTTCTTCAGGGGAGGGTGCGACAGGCCCAGGGGCCACCCAAAGCAGCTGGCTCCGGGGACAGCCACACCAACCACTGCTCCAGCGGCCCCGGTGCCTCCTCCCCCAGTACCCCTTATCCCCCCCCCAAGATTTAATCACAGGTATTTTTAGTATAAGTCATGGACAGGTCACGGGCCGTGAATTTTTGTTTATTGCCCGTGACCTGTCTGTGACTTTTACTAAAAATACCGGTGACTAAATCGTAGCCTTAACTATTGGAAATACTTCCCAGCATAGGTGCTTGTAGGCGGTGATCAGGTCATCTGTTAACCTTCTCTTGGTAAATTAAAAAGATTTTTCTCCTAAGTTCTCTTGCTAGAAAACATGTTTTCCAAATTTCATGTCATACTTACATCTCTTTTCTGAATCCTTTTACATTTTCAACATCCTTTTTGGAAGTATGGTCACCAGAACTGGACCGAGCATTCCAGGAATGGCCTCACTAATGCTATGTTATAACAGTTATTCTGGGTTGTTAGGGCCCAATTAGTTTTACCTGCCAAATACTGTAGGTTTTTTTTCCTACAAGGGTGTGTGTGTGTTACGTGTATTTTTATTTCAAGCAACTTTTTATTGAAGATGTTATTGTAATGAATTGTCTTGGATTATTATGTTACATTATATTCTGTTGTCTAAAATTAAAATATTTGATAGGCATGAAAACTTCTTTTTTTTTCTAACTTGCAAAAACAAAAGTTAATATTTCTCCACCACTAAACTCTTTTATCTCTTTCCCTCTTGTATTCCACTGAAGAATGGTTTATAGCCAACATCTTAGATTTAGTGTACATCAGGAAATGTTAGTCTCCTCATATTATAATGCTCTGTACAATGCCCATGATTACTGCGGGATTACACAATTTGTTGGCATTAATGCCAAGGGCACTGATGCCATCTAGTGTTGAAAGAATTAGTGTGCCCACTTTTTAAATGTGTTTTGGCCAATCTTCATCCTCAAGGTTTATGTATAAAAGGAAGAGGAGAGAGAGGTCAATTAGTGCCCTGCTGTTCAGTATTCTTTTTGTCCATCAAAATTCACCTGTTAATTTATTAACTGTGTACTATACTCATTTGGTTTCAGTCAGCTTCATGTGATGCACTGTTTTACAGACATGGGACAGATTTTGCTTTCTCATATGCTGGATTTGTACCCTGTATTTCCATCGGCATGAGTAACTGAGATCAAATTCTGACCCATCCGGTGTTAAATTATTTTATATTTATATACATTCACAGAATCATAGATTGATGGGACCAAATTCTGCTCCTATATACACCCTTTTAAATCCAGACTTATTGGGTCAGATCCTAAACCTGTGTAAATCACTGTAGCTCAGCTGAAGTCAATGGAGCCAAGACCGTTTATACCAGCTGTGGACCTGGCCCACTGAGAGCAGAGGACCTGTAGAATTGTAGGAGTCAGAGATGAAAAAGATCTATTAGGCTATCCTGACCTTTTCTCTAATAATACAGGATTGCTCCTTATATAGTCTAGTGTTTGTCCTAAGTGCTGGGACTATCACCACTTCCTCAGAAGACTATTCCACTTTTCCTTGTATTCAGCCTAATTTTCCTTTTCTCGATTTCTTCTCTTCACTCCTAGTTATATATCCCTTTGTACCACCCTACACAGTTCCTCTTCTCTTTGTGTTTGTGCCTGTCATTACATCATTATGCTCCTTCCCCTAAATTGTCACTTATCCAACCAGCTCATAATTTAGCTCTTTTAATTTTGATTCCCTGATTATTTTTGGTGCTGCTCCCCCTCCAGTTTGTCAATAGCTGTCCCATAAAGAGGTGCCCAGAAATGAGCACCATTTTTACTAATGGTTTTAAGTTTTAAGACAATTATTCTGTCTAAAATGAATGTGTATACACTCAAGGCCTCTGCAGACTGTCAAAATGACAACAAGATATGAAGTATTATTATTAATAGTTTAAACTTTAATCTTAATTTTTCAAAAGCAAGAGTTCCAAGGGCAGGAAATGTTTATAATACTTAGATTCTTTCTTTATAATAAGTTTTGTAGAACTGACAGCTTTTCAAGGACTTGACAAAGACATTTTTTGTCTAGATATTAACTGTTCTGAATCGGAATCCTTTCTACACCATCAAACGTCACGTAAGGAATGAACAAGGCTCCACCATCCCTATCTGTCCTGGGAAGCTTTTTGCATATCCTCTATGTGAAGTCTCATAGGCTTTCCCTCTCTGAGTAGTGTTCAACAGAGGGATTCTTTCAGTCAGCTCCTTTGACATGTTTGACCAACTACCTAATGACACGCCTGCCATGGCAAACTCTTGCTTCATACATGTCTTAACACATGTCCCAGATATTTCCATCTTCTTTTCTGGAGAGCTTTGGAGATGAGAAGTTGCTGAACTCTGTGATGAATCTTGGAGCTATACATTCATTCCATTTAATACTTAGCATATTCCTGAGGATTTGCTTTGGAAGGCATATTAATATTTCAAGGCACATTTATTGAAAATACATGTCTTGTACAAATTCGGTATCCACCTTTTACCGTATTTGCCCAGCTCTACACGACAACAGTAAAAATTGCATTAACTGCCTGAAATAATAAACATGGCTGGTTGAAAAACAGGATAAAGTGTTGGTGAAAATGTAGTCATTTCCCTTCCTCCTTCCTCCCACCCCATTTTATTTTTGGAAATTTCAAATTTTGATTAATTTTTTCTTCACAATTTTGAAAATATTTGACCTCCCCTAGTCACAGAACATTTCATAACATTAAGGTACATTTTTGGTCCCTGCAAATCCATAGTCAACATTTGCTAAACTTGGAACTTTACGTTTATATGCAAACCAGCCAATTGTTCTTTGGTTGCCATGTATAGTTCCCTGAGTTCCGGTTCATATTTTAGGTTTGAACAAAATCAGATATCAGCCTATAATAATTTGAAACTGGATGTAGGTTCACTTACAAGCCATTTCACAAACACAAAGTGATTGAGCATGTAATGAAACCTGAAATAAACAAATTTTAATGACTTTTTTGTTTTAGTAACGTTGTTGTACCTCTTAGTTCTCATTTCATGGCATTGTAGAAATGGTTCTTTGTAGTTAGTGTGCAGCAAACTGCTCATAATGACACTTCAATATCTGTATTGTGAGAATGAGACAACAAAATAGGAACAGGTGAAATTAATAGATTCTTGTACAAAACTATGGTGTGATTCCAGCAGCAAAAAAAAAAAAAGGTAAATGGTGAATTGAAGAAAAAGGAGCAGACCTGATACAAGGGGGTGGAGCCAAACCTGATTTGTCTCATGAGGATATTGCCAATGGTTGTAATTTACTGAAAGAGAACTCCTGCAACCAAAATAACTCACCTGAATTCCAGCACCTATTTCAAATGTCCATAAAAATCCAATCTGAGTTTTACCTATTCTTGTCACAGGGGGAAGTCTCAGTAGTAAAATCAATGTTTGGCCTTCAAAGCACAATGTAACTCATTCAATACAAGGAAGATAATAAATATAACAGAATTTTCCAGGCTATCTGAAACATTTTATCCTTCATAAAAGCTGAGTGAAAAATACCTTATTAGTAGAGATCGCCAATGGGGCTGAGTTGCAGTGAATTTTAGAACAAGTTTCAGATTCTTTTCTACATCCTATTATGGGGTTCTTAATTGCTGGTAACTTTGGATGTGTGTATTTTCTGTGTCCGCTGACATTTGTATGTTTATTTCCTGTAGAGGTGCATTGCCCCATCTTCCAGAAACCTGAGAGTGTGACAGTACATCCATCAAGTTGTGGACAAGAACCATCAAAATCTGGAACAGTGTGCCAGTTGAGCTGCCCCCGGGGATTCACCTTGTCTGGGGTTAGAGAAGAACTGAGATGCACTCCTTCTGGGAGATGGAGTGAAAATGTCCAAAAGGCTCTATGTAAAGGTATAGACCTGAACAATAATTTCCACTGCAAGTAGATGTGGGTTCAGAGGGAAGGGGATTGCAGAGAGACAGATAAAGATGTGTTTGAACCTGAGGCAAAGCCTGATTAAAGTGATCTTCAAAATGTACTGCTTCCGCTATTGCCTGACAATAGAATTTAATATTTATTAGTTCAGCAAGATTGTTCAGGTACATTTATGATGCATCTCACCATCAGTCAGCCCTCTGGAGACCATCCCAGGTGTCCTGTTTTGTTGGGGTTCGTGGTACTATGTGACTTTAAGGCCTGGGAGAAAAAGTTAAATTATAAAGTGAAGAATGAAGAGGAGAAAAACCTAGGCTTTAGAGATGGCCAGAGTGAAACCAAACAATATAATAACAGTAAAAATATCAATGGGATAGCATGTGTTTATATAGTTCCTTTTATCTCGAGGTTCCTTAAGTGCTATGGAAACTTATACTAATATGCATGATATATGAAGGTGTTTTATCCCAGTATATCAGAGCACCCTCTGGAGTGAGGCACTAGCCAGGGCCGCCCAGAGGATTCAGGGGATCTGGGGCAAAGCGGGGGAGCTGCGGTGCTTGTACTCACCTAGCGGCGGTCCGGGTCTTCGGCGGCATTTTGGCGGCGGCGGGCCCTTCAGTCGCTCCGGGTCTGCGGCAGCACTGAAGGGCCCCCCGCTGCCGAAATGCCGCTGAAGACCTGGACCGCCGCCGGGCCAGGGCTCGCGGGGCCCCTGAGGGGTCCGGGGCTGGGACAAATTGCCCCATTTACACCCCTCCGCCCCCCGGGCGGCCCTGGCACTAGCGCTTTTTAACAGCTTACTACTCAAAACTTTAGGGCACACAGCGAAGAATGCTGTAATTAATTGAAGCTGCACAGGAAGTGTAGATGGTAAAAATGTAATTACATTAGTATGAATTTGGCCAGGGCTCTGGCATGAACACCGAGCTCTTTCAGAAAATATTAGATTTTTTTTTTCATACACAAATATACTTTCAGTTTGAATGCCTGGCATTTTTCTCTGTGACATTCTGCACCTGAAACAGAATGGAGGGCCTAACAGCAGAGAGGCAGGTAGACTGTAAAGGCACATTACAAAAAAAAGAGTTATAACAGTTGCTAAGCACATCACTACAGAAAGTGCTACAGGATTTCTGTTGTTTAATGGCCATAAGTAGTGAGAACCCTGATATTACTACTTATCCTAAACACCGCACCTCCAGCAGCATAATGATCCTTAGTGTGTTGTTTCAGTATTGACTTGGAGGGTAGAGTCCCCACCTACTGAATCAGCAGCAACCTCCATGCTCCTGGAAGTTCTTCCATGCAAATATGGACTAGGCATAACTTATAATTAGGGCTGTCAATTAATCGCATTTACCTCACACGATTAACTCAAAAAAATTAATCGCGATTTAAAAAATTAATCACAATTAATCGCAGTTTTAATCGCACTGTTAAACAATAGAATACTAATTGAAATTTCTTCAATATTTTGGATGTTTTTCTACATTTTCATATATATTGTATTCTGTGTTGTAATTGAAATCAAAGTGAATATTTTTATTACAAATATTTGCACTGTAAAAATGATAAAAGAAATAATATTTTTAAATTCATCTTATACAGGTATTGTAGTGCAATCTCTTTGTCGTGAAGGTGCAACTTACAAATGTAGATTTTTGTTGTTGTTACATAACTGCACTCAAAAACAAAACAATGTAAAACTTCAGAGCCTACAAATCCACTCAGACCTGCTTCTTGTTCAGCCAATCACTAAGACAAACAGGTTTGTTTACATTTACAGGAGATAATGCTGCCCTCTTCTTATTTACAGTATCACCAGAAAGTGAGAACAGGCGTTTAAATGGCATTTTTGTAGCTAGCATTGCAAGGTATTTACGTGCCAGATATGCTAAACATTTGCATGCCCCTTCATGCTTCGGCCACTATTCCAGAAGACATGCTTCCATGCTGATGACACTCATTAAAAAAAGAATGCATTAATTAAATTTGTGACTGAACTCCTTGGGGGAGAATTGTACAGCCCCTGCTCTGTTTTACCCACATTCTGCCATATATTTCAGTCTCGCATGATGACTCAGCACGTTATTCATTTTAAGAACACTTTCACTGCAGATTTCATAAAATGCAAAGAAGGTACCAATGTGAGATTTCTAAAGACAGCTACAGCACTTGACTCAATGTTTAAGAATCTGAAGTGCCTTCCAAAATCTGAGAGGGACGAGGTGCGGAGCATACTTTTAGAAGTCTTTAGAGAGGAGCACTCTGATGCGGAAACTACA